TGTGGTGTTCTTGCCAATACCCATGCAAGCTCTTCAGATCTTCCACGAGAAATGTTACGACAACTCCACACAACTGCGTAATCAGAATAATCTGTATCCATGACCCAAAAGATTGCTGATGTTGCTGATCATTAATAAGAAATAAATAATTTAGAAAAGAAGCTGATGAGTGTGTGTTTAAAACTCACTTCCTGATCCAAATCCAGTAACATCAAGTTTTCCAGTTAATGGATTTTCGTTTGGGTTAGTTAATTGTGCTTGTCCAGTGGATTGTCTAAATGTACCTCCTGAAGTGAATCCGGTACTACTCATATGAATCGAGCCATCATTGTTCAATGAATAGCGAGACGTGACGCAAACATAATTGGTTTGTGTATCATATCGTCCGATTTGGTACCAAACACCCATGAACTTTAAATAAAAATTTCACTTTCTTAACAACTTTCTGTAATTTTCAAGAATTAAAAAATCACAACTTACAGGTGAAACTTGGAAGTTTGTCTTCACTCGAGCTGACATTTCGTCCAATCGACATGGCCCGCTATAAATACGAGCTGAAGCAGTTGAGAGAAATGCCAAAGTTATGATAATGAAAGATTTCATTTTTCCACTTTTTTCAACTTCAAATTCTTAAATATAAATTCTTGTTTGACAATTGAAATGAAACTATTGAAGAATCGTTTTGGTCAAGCTTTAAATACTTTTTCGTTTTTCAATTACCACCAATTAGTTATCAATTGAACGTGTTGAGTCAGATAAGATTGTGGGTTTACCCTTAATCCGTTATTAAGTAAATCGAAATTATCACTTCTAACTCTCAAATCAATTTCAAGTAGCTTGCATTAAATGCTTCATGATAGATAAGAAATCTNTTAAACTAATTTTCCTAATGTATTAGAACAAGCTACTGCAGAATGTCGCATCTTGATTAGTCAATCTGATTGCATCTAATACAAGTCCACTTGAATGAACAGCATTTTCATAACGTTGTCGAACAGCCTCCGATGTTTGTGGTGTTCTTGCCAATACCCATGCAAGTTCTTCAGATCTTCCACGAGAAATGTTACGACAACTCCACACAACTGCGTAATCAGAATAATCTGTATCCATGACCCAAAAGATTGCTGATGTTGCTGATCATTAATAAGAAATAAATAATTTAGAAAAGAAGCTGATGAGTGTGTGTTTAAAACTCACTTCCTGATCCAAATCCAGTAACATCAAGTTTTCCAGTTAATGGATTTTCGTTTGGGTTAGTTAATTGTGCTTGTCCAGTGGATTGTCTAGGTGTACCTCCTGAAGTGAATCCGGTACTACTCATATGAATCGAGCCATCATTGTTCAATGAATAGCGAGACGTGACGCAAACATAATTGGTTTGTGTATCATATCGTCCGATTTGGTACCAAACACCCATGAACTTTAAATAAAAATTTCACTTTCTTAACAACTTTCTGTTTAACTTTCAAGAATTAAAAAATCACAACTTACAGGTGAAACTTGGAAGTTTGTCTTCACTCGAGCTGACATTTCGTCCAATCGACATGGCCCGCTATAAATACGAGCTGAAGCAGTTGAGAGAAATGCCAAAGTTATGATAATGAAAGATTTCATTTTTCCACTTTTTTCAACTTCAAATTCTTAAATAAAAATTCTTGTTTGACAATTGAAATGAAACTGTTGAAGAATCGTTTTGCTCAAGCTTTAAATACTTTTTCGTTCTTTCAATTACCACCAATTAGTTATCAATTGAACGTGTTGAGTCAGATAAGATTGTGGGTTTACCCTTAATCCGTTATTAAGTAAATCGAAATTATCACTTCTAACTCTCAAATCAATTTCAAGTAGCTTGCATTAAATGCTTCATGATAGATAAGAAATCTGGATTTACCCATTAGTTGGGGTAATCGCTACTTAACTCCAAAGACGTCAACTACAAACGTAAATTCCTTAATTGAATTAACTCTGAAATGATATCTAGAAAAGGAAGGAAACAGCCGCTTACTTAAGCAATTTTTAATTCATTTTTACGAAATTATTTAGACTTGTGAACTTCTGTATTGTAATTTTTAGCAAGCTGATTAAACTCAGTCTAATTGCTATCGGAATTTATTTTACATGTACATATTTTCCTTTTCCCTGTACAGAACATCTGCAAATTTATTGATACGATCAATTTTATTTGAATTATGTTTTTTATGAATTTGTTGTTGAGAATCTCAATACTTCAAAATTTAGTTAAACTCAGAAATATTCTACAAAACTCAATGCGACTCCAACTGGACATGAAAGTCTCCAACATAACTCTCTTGCATCTCGAGAACAATCTGGAAAGCCGTTGAGAAAAGTCGCTCTACTAAGAGTTCACGGCTATTAGAAAATTAGTTTTTATTTGTACACGCAAATGTTTAGAGAAATAAATCGTCAGTGACGTTCACAAGTCATAAACTTAATTTTTATTTGAAACGATAAGTCCTGATTATGAGTCCATTGATGGACGTTTAAGCAAACCTCCATTAGAGGCTTGAAACTGTAAACAATTTTTTACAAACGACGATAAGTTGCAAAAATCAAAAAGGATTTAAAGTCATAAAGCATTCAACTTATCAGTTGAAATAGGCTTTATATTCATTGTGAAATAAAAAAAAGAAAACAATTTAAGACATGTCGTTTCTAAAAATATAATTTATGGATATTGAGTATATAGGGAAAAAAACTTTGTATTAAAAGGTTTAATATTTTTATTCATTTTCTTCACCAAAATTTTACACACGAACTTTTGTTCCAATAATTGTTGGAAGTTTTACCGTGAGACTGTTGACAATTGTTGTGAGATAATCAATTTGTTCTTCCATTGTTTCAATGTTAGAATTAATTGCACCAATCTCAATGGCATATTCATCAATTCGTCCATCCAATCGATCTCTTTCACGCGTATTTTCGATTTCCATTTCTTGAATATTTTCTTGCACCTGATCTAATCGATCTTTTTCCTGTGATTGTACATCTTCGATATTTCTTACAGTTTCGTCAATTTTCACAACATTTTCTTGCACTTGATTTAGTCGATCCCTTTCATCGGACTGTACACCTTCAATAACTTTTAAATTTCCATCAACTTTCACAACATTATCTTGCACTACATCAATATGATCCATACAATCAGCTGAACATGTTACACTGCACCATAAGTGAAGATTTTTGTTTAAATCTTGAATTTGTTCTCTTGTTGTAGCATCAACATTCACGCAAGGATTATTCCCAAAGTTGACTGACTCCAATTGGTTCAATCCACTTAATAAGTTTTCTCCGATAACTTCAATCTTATTTCCATAAAATCCGATACGTTTTATATTTGGAGTGTACTTAAAAAGATCACAATCGATAACTTTTAGTTGATTCGTCGTGGAAATGAACACAATCAAGTTTCGAAATGGCTCCAAGTCATTAGGAGTAATTGTCATAAGATTTGCATTTTGCCATTCAAGTCCTTTTATGTTTGGGAAGAAATTTGTGATTGCTCTTGGAATAACTTGCATATCTACGTCAATGAAGCGAAGTCCTTCAACATTATTATTATTAAAACCAGTCGTGTGTTCTCCACGGACTGCAGAAACAGTTGTTGTACTACCAGAATATTCAGGATGACCGTTACAGTAATAAACCTCAGTGCCTATATATAACCAGCCTTTAATATAAAAAAAGCAATCCATTATTAAACAGTCGGTAGTTACGAAGCATAAAATAAAAGCCGATAACAATAAACGCTTCATTATTTTGTAAATTCAAAGTTGAGTTTTACAAGAAATTTAAATTTTTTTTCAAATTATTGTCAACAATGTTTGTTAATTTGTGTGAACAGTTTGAAAGAATATTTTGTACTGAAATAAAAATCATAAAATTTATATCATTCTGAGTTTGAAAGAAAGCTTAAAATGTAATTTGTTTTTTATTTCAATTCTATACTACATTTATCTAATAAATGAAGCTTAAAATATTTTTGGTGTTTGCAATTCTATAAATAGATTTTTATATAATAAATTGATGATCTGATAAATTCAGTATTGGATTCTACCACGTGGGATCTTTGGAGCTTTGCTCAATTAATTTTTAAGAAATTAAATGAAGGGCTCACATAGAGTTATATATCATCATATGTTATTTGTGAGCCTTTCATTTGAATTTCTATTTGTAAATAATTGTTTGAAGAATCAGAATGAATCGAAATTCTGATGATGATGATAGCTGAATTAGTTGATTGTGTGTATTTCCTATATCATATCTAAAAATCAAATTTCAAATTAGGATGAAAGCTTTAGAAAGGCTTGTGCTTAATAAAAATCTCCATTCTCCAATTTGTTAACAAGTTAGGATAGATAATAATTTGATATAAGAAATATGTAATTCTCTCTCTATAAATTTTATTTTTAGAAACGACTTGTCTTATATTGATTTTCTTTTTCTTTTCACAATGAATATAAAATCTTTTTAACTGATTAGATAAACTCTTTAGAACTTTAAAACCTTTTTGATTTTTGCAATTTATCATCAATTGTAAAGGATTTTTTTTACAGTTTTAATACTCTAACGGAGGTTTGTTTAAACGACCATCAATGGATTCATAATCAGGATCTGGATCAGGATAATCTTTTAAAATGGAAATCAAGTTTATGACACGTGAAAGCGATCGACGATTAATATTTATCTAAACATTTGCCATAGTACGACTGTCAGTCTCCCTCGATGCAACGCGATCCCTTCAGTCATCGTTGTATCAAGAGATTCAAATTTTTTTTATTCAGGTGTAATAAATTTTCCGAAAAATTTTAAATTCGCCTTATGTGTTATACTTTTAATCATTAAAAAAACTAAACGAAACGGTTTTGATCATTAAATTTCGAAGCTATCAACTATAAAAGTCGATTCCCTTCACGATACTTGATCAGTTTTTATCAATTTTTTCAGCTTGGATCATTTTTTTAATTGAGATGTCAAAGTCGAAAACTTCAATTTTCTTGTTAACATTTTTGCTTATTTGCGGTAAGTGAGATGTTTCTTGAGAATATATAAATAATTTATTATTCTTTTACAGCTTTTACTGCTATTACTGTGTGGGGCTTTCCAGACTGTTCTAAAGGGGAAAGCGAGCTTTGTTGGAGTGTAACTTGTCCACCTCCTTATCGGCTCAGACCTACTGGACCATGGGGTCGTCAATGTTGTTGCCACTCATTCTAAAATCAAAGCTCTTTTCACATCGAGTTTTGAAGAATATTTCTGAGTTTAGCTAAAGAAGTTTATCTAAATTTTGAATTATTGAGATATGAAAAACAATTAATAAAAAAAAATAATTCAAACAAAATTCATCGTCTTAATAAATTTGCAGATCTTTGGTATATTAATAGTTTAAAGTTTAAACAGCTTGCAACGAAATTCAAAATATTCTTGGTAATGTGTCAAAAATATTGAAAATTCAATTCTCAAGGTAAAAATTCGTTAATAGAATTTATCAAAACTAAATTATGGATTATTTGAGTATGCGCCTGATAAACTTCCTTCCTTTTTACCTTCATGAACGTAATGCTTAAAAAGTGCAAGCTATCACCTCAAAGCGATTTAGATTAGGGAATTTTCGTTTGGAATTGACGTCTTTGGAGTTAAGTAGCGATTACCCCACCTTATGGGTAAATCCGGATTTCTTATCTATCATGAAGCATTTTGATGAAAGACACTTGAAATTGATTTGAGATTCATTTTGATGAACTAATAATGGATTAAGGGTAAACCCACAATCTTATCAGACTTGACATGTTCCATTGATGACTAATTGGTCGTAATTGAATGAACGAAAAAGTATTTAAAGCTCGACCAAAGACATTCCTCAATAGTAAGTTTTCAACTCTCAAAGTAAAACTTTAACAAAAAATAAGAATTTGAAATTTTAAAAAAGTGAAAAAATGAAATCTTTCATTATTATAACTTTGGCAATTCTCTCAACTGCTTCAGCTCGTATTTATAGCGGGCCATGTCGATTGGACGAAATGTCAGCTCGAGTGAAGACAAACTTCCAAGTTTCACCTGTAAGTTGTGATTTTTTAATTGTTGAAAGTTAAATAGAAAGTTGTTAAGAAAGTGAAATTTTTATTTAAAGTTCATGGGTGTTTGGTACCAAATCGGACGATATGATACACAAACCAATTATGTTTGCGTCACGTCTCGCTATTCATTGAACAATGATGGCTCGATTCATATGAGTAGTACCGGATTCACTTCAGGAGGTACATTTAGACAATCCACTGGACAAGCACAATTAACTAACCCAAACGAAAATCCATTAACTGGAAAACTTGATGTTACTGGATTTGGATCAGGAAGTGAGTTTTAAACACACACTCATCAGCTTCTTTTCTAAATTATTTATTTCTTATTAATGATCAGCAACATCAGCAATCTTTTGGGTCATGGATACAGATTATTCTGATTACGCAGTTGTGTGGAGTTGTCGTAACATTTCTCGTGGAAGATCTGAAGAGCTTGCATGGGTATTGGCAAGAACACCACAAACATCGGAGGCTGTTAGACAACGTTATGAAAATGCTGTTCATGCAAGTGGACTTGTATTAGATGCAATCAGATTGACTAATCAAGATGCGACATTCTGCAGTAGCTTGTTCTAATACATTAGGAAAATTAGTTTAATGATAAAAATTTAATTTACAATTTATAATTTATAATAAAGATCTCCATATTGAATACAAGGAAATTGAGAAATTTTTTTATTTGAAACTTATGTCGCAATCAAAATACAATCAATGTTTATAAAATTCCCATACGCTTCTCCATAACGGCGTGAGGTTGACAAACCTTCTCCGAGAATTCAGGTGTTCCATATATGTCTGCTGGTGTGATCATTTCGTCTAATCCAAGTAAAACATCACGCGAAACATTGCTTGAAGGCAAAAAAGGCAAACGTCCAACTTTACTTGCCGAGTTGATTTCCATCATGTATCTTAGTTGAGCACCAATTCCATGATGATTGCGAATCATTTGACTGTTTAAGTTAAGTTGATGATCAGCAAACTAAAATGTTTCAAAATTTAAGTTTATTAATTATTTATCTGGAACTTTATCCCTTTTTTAAAAACTTACTTTAAGTTCAGATGTTTGCAAAGGATGAGAAGTGCTAAGTTGTGCCATGACTTCTTTATCGGTGGGACCCATAGCGCCTGAAGGAATTTCCAACTTTTCTGGCATCGATGGCATAATTTTGACTGATAAATCCTCCTAAAATTAGCAAAACAAAAAAGTAACCAAGAATGAGTAAAAATGCAAATCATTCTTAAATTTTAAATTAAGTTTCAGTGTTGAATACAAACCATTGCGATTTTCTTTAGTGATTAGAGAATTTTTGACACTTTGTGTTGAAAAACTATAACTTTTAAATAGCCGAAACGCTTTTTATAATGATTAAATGATTTTTTTGGATAATTATTTACAATCTAAAGTGATTGTTGATGAACGAAATGAAATGAAAAGTTTTACTGAACATGTTTTGAGTTTGTACTTCTGAACAGACCTCACAGCATAACTGACAGCAAAGTATTTTTATTTACTCGGCAAACAATTCTAAGCACATTCAAAGACGAAGAAAAAGAAATTATGGCAAGTAAACGTAAAACTGATAATTTGCCAGCAGATGAGAGTGATGTACTTTTGATTCGTCCTTTGGGAGCTGGTCAAGAAGTTGGTCGGAGCTGCATTATGTTAGAATTTAAAGGTAAAATATATTTTTATTTTACAAAATAATTTTGTTTATTTATATTTTCATTCTTCTCTAGAGAGAAAAATTATGCTAGATTGTGGAATTCATCCTGGTCTCAGTGGAATGGATGCATTACCTTTTGTTGATCTTATTGAAGCAGATGAAATCGATTTATTGTTTATTTCACAGTAAGTTTTTTCCTTTTCAAATATATTTGAAATAGGTATTTTAACTTTCTAATACATTAAATAGTTTTCACTTGGATCATTGTGGTGCATTGCCATGGTTCCTTCAAAAGACAAGTTTCAAAGGACGTTGTTTTATGACACATGCAACAAAAGCTATTTACCGGTGGATGTTATCAGATTATATTAAAGTAAGCAACATTGCGACAGAACAAATGTTGTATTCAGAAGCTGATTTGGAAGCAAGTATGGAGAAAATTGAGACAATAAACTTTCATGAAGAGCGTGATGTAATGGGCGTAAGATTTTGGGCTTACAATGCTGGTCATGTTCTTGGCGCTGCAATGTTTATGATTGAAATTGCTGGTGTTAAAATCCTTTACACTGGAGACTTCTCAAGACAAGAAGATCGACATTTGATGGCTGCAGAAATCCCTAACATGAAGCCTGACATATTAATCACAGAATCAACTTACGGCACTCACATTCATGAGAAACGAGAAGATCGAGAAAATCGTTTTACATCACTCGTTCAAAAAATTGTTATGCAAGGTGGTCGATGTTTAATTCCAGTGTTTGCACTTGGTCGTGCTCAAGAATTGCTTCTGATTCTTGATGAATTTTGGAGTCAGAACCCAGATCTTCAAGAAATTCCAATTTATTATGCATCATCTCTCGCTAAGAAATGTATGGCCGTTTATCAAACGTACATCTTTGGGATGAACGACAAAATTCGACGACAAATAGCAGTGAATAATCCATTCGTGTTCAAACACATCTCGAATCTCAAAGGCATTGATCATTTCGAAGATATTGGACCATGTGTTGTTATGGCAAGTCCTGGAATGATGCAAAGCGGCCTATCGAGAGAACTTTTCGAAACTTGGTGTACGGAACCCAAGAATGGTGTCATAATTGCTGGTTATTGTGTTGAAGGAACTTTAGCAAAAACAGTTTTATCAGAACCAGAAGAAATTGTTTCGATGTCTGGACAAAAGTTGCCATTAAACATGTCAGTTGATTACATTTCATTCTCTGCTCATACTGATTATCAACAAACTTCAGAATTTATTCGTTTATTGAAACCTCAGCATGTTGTTCTTGTTCATGGAGAGCAGAATGAAATGAGTCGCTTAAAATCTGCACTTCAACGTGAATATGAAAATCAACCAAATGCCAACATCACATTCTACAATCCTCGTAACACACACGCAGTTGAACTCTACTTTAAAGGTGAGAAAACTGCAAAAGTGATGGGATCATTAGCATCTGGGAAAGTTGAAAATGGCGATAAAGTGTCTGGAATTCTTGTGAAACGCGACTTCAAATATCATGTACTTGCTGCATCAGATTTAAGTAAATACACGGACATGAGTATGAGTACAGTAACTCAGAGGCAATCTCTTGCATTCAGTGGATCACCTGGAAATCTTAAAATTTTATTGGAAAGCATTGGAGGCATCGGAACTGTCGAAGTTCTTGATAACGATAAAAAGTTCAGAATTTTTGATAATGTTGAAGTGACATTCGATGGGAAAATAGTAATTCTTGAATGGCAAGCTAATCCAGTTAATGACATGTTTGCTGACACAATTCTTGCGAGTTTACTTCAAACTGAACTTGGAGGAAGTCAAATCAAAGGTACAACAAAAGCTACGAAGTCTGATCATTTAAGGGATTGTATTATGGAGACTCTTCAGGTAAGAAATTGAATTATTCAGTCAATTTTTTTTAATTTCATTTACTCATATAGGATATGTTTGGTGATGCTGCAGTTCCGAAATCTTCCAAAGATGACTTGTTGAATATCAAAGTCAATGGAAAAATTTGCACGGTCAATTTATTGACACTTGAAGTATCATGTGAAGAAGATGAGATGCTTCGAGATATGGTCTTCACTGCTGTGAACAAATTAAATCAAGTTCTCGTTCAACCGAAATCTGAGAACAAAATCATTTAAATTTCTTTTAATAAATTTCATAATTTTTTCAAACTTAAACTTTTTAACGGTTTTTTAAATTTTAAATTTCGGTTCAAAATTTCCAAGTTTGGTTCACTTTTCTGAATAAAAACAAAAAGTGAGTTTCGGTAATTCTTATTCCCAAAGAAAACTTAATAAATAGTGGGAAGAAATGGATATATTAGCTAATTATCTTCATCAAGTTAAGGTTCCAACTGTAAATGACAATATTTATAGTGAAGAATGTGTTTTTTCTTTCGATACTCCGGTAAATAGAAAATAAACTTTTTTTATTCACTGTTTTGTTTTGTAAACATGGAGTTTTAGGAGACAGAAACTGGATTATATGTAAGTCTTACAACCTTCTTCGGTTTTGGAAAGGATTTTGTGGAACGTTACTATCAGAAGACTGGTAATGCAATTTTCCTTCACATTCAACGCATCAAAACTGAGGTAAAATTTTATCTTTTCGAGGTTATCATGAGATGATTTTGCAATAAACAAAACATTTGCAGATTCCTCAAAACAAAGATGAAACTGAAGAAGGTCCTGAGAAGAAAATTACAAGGCTAGCAATTGGTCTTGAAGGTGGTTTACAAGATGACACCAATAAGAAGAAATACAATTACGAAGATATTTACAGTGTCGTCGTTTTTCCGTCTCAAACGAAAATTCCATTTCCAAGCGATACACTTCCAGCAATAATCAACGAGTCTGTAAACGCAATTATTTCATCAGATTCAGCCTTTAAGAAATTTGAGAAAGAACAATTAACAGGAACATGGGATGGCGAAATGAAGCAAGTTTCAGTTTATGCTGTCGAGTTACAACAGCTGGAAAATGGAAAGAAAATTCCACCAAGCGGATGGAAATGTGAAAAATGCGATCTCACAAATAATCTTTGGTTGAATTTAACTGATGGATCGATTCTTTGTGGTCGAAAATTCTTTGATGGTTCTGGTGGAAATGATCACGCAGTTCATTATTATCAGGAAACGAAATATCCATTAGCAGTGAAGCTGGGAACAATCACATCTGATGGCAAAGCTGATGTTTACAGTTATCCAGAAGATGACATGGTTATTGATCCGTATCTGCAAAAGCATCTTCTTCATTTCGGAATCAACATCGGACAAATGGAAAAGACTGAAAAGTCGATGGTTGAAATGGAAATTGAATTGAATCAACGTCTTGGTGAATGGTCGTTGTTACAAGAAAGTTCAGCAAATCTTCAACCAGTTGCTGGTCCAGGATTGACTGGAATGTCCAATTTAGGTAACACTTGCTATCTGAACAGCGTCATGCAAGTAATTTTCACGATCCCGGATTTTATAAGACGTTACGTGACTCATGCCGAAGAAATCTTCTCAACATCTTCAGCTGATCCTGTGAATGATTTCAATGTTCAAATGGCCAAACTTGGAAGTGGCTTGTGGAGTGGAAAGTACAGTTCTATAAGTGAAGACTCCTTAGACACCGGAGCTAATGGAATTAAACCAACAATGTTCAAGAATTTAATTGGAAGAGGCCATCCGGACTTCTCAACAAAACAACAACAAGATGCGCAAGAATATCTTCTTCATTTATTCAGCGTCATCGAACGTAACAGTCGCAACCACGATAATCCTTCGGATGCTCTCAAGTTCAAGATTGAAGATCGCGTTCAATGTATGGGAAGTCAGAAGGTGAAGTACAGTTATCGTGATGAATGGTGCTTGCCAGTTCCGATTCCTGTTCATCTTGCAACAAACATTGATGAAGTTAAGGCATATGAAGAAGAGAGAAAGAAAGCTGAAGCGGAAGATCGTCGATTGACTGATGACACTCTTGTTCGACCGAAAATTCCTTTGAGAGTTTGTTTGGAGAAGTTTGCAGAAGCAGACATTGTTGAACAATTCTTTAGTACTGCATTGAATGATAAAACGACTGCAACAAAGCGAGCTCGTCTTGCGACAATGCCAGATTATTTGCTTTTGCATTTAAAGAAATTTACGTTGCGAGAAGACTGGACATCGATTAAATTGGACGTTTCCGTTGAATGTCCTGACGAAATCGACATTTCTTTCTTACGTGGAAATGGTCTTTTGCCATCAGAAGAGGAATTGCCTGAATTGAAGGGACGAGTTCCATCACCTCCACCAATGGATCCAGAAGTTTTGAACAATCTTCAAGACATGGGATTCCCACTTGATGCTTGCAAAAAAGCAATCCTTTTCACGAAAAACTCAGGCTTAGAAGCAGCAACGAATTGGATTATGCAACATATCGCTGATGATGATTTTAATTCACCTTTTATTCCTCCTGGACAGGAAAATGTTAAACAAGGTCAGTTAATTAATTTTCATTCATCAGAAATTTGAATTAATTTTCATTCTTCATTTCAGACTTCACTCCCAACGAAGAAGGTCTCGCTATGATCATTTCAATGGGATTCTCGATGAATCAAGCAACAAAAGCTTTAAAAGCAACCAACAATAACACTGAACGTGCTGTTGATTACATTTTCTCGCATCAAGATGAACTTGATATGGAAGATGTTAATGAATTGGAGACACCACAAGTTTCATCATCAGCGGCATCTCAACATGTTAAGAATTGTCGCGATGGTGAAGGCAAATATCGTTTGAAAGCTTTCATATCTCACATGGGAACATCATCACAAGTTGGTCATTACGTTTGTCACATCTTGAAAGACAATCAGTGGATAATTTTCAATGATAATAAAGTTGCAATGAGTCAGGCACCACCGAAGGACCTTGGATACTTATATCTTTATGAAAGAGTTAAACATTGAAGAAGAACAAAAGCAAGAAATTTTCTTTTTTTTTTCATTTTGTATTTTAACTCATCATTCAACTCATTTGAATTAAAATTTATTTAAAAATCTTATGAACTTGTCTTTTATGTCGTTTTAGTTTGTTGTTGTCGGGAAAAGCGGCATCGCATTTATCGATATCACAAATAGCTGGTCGAATGTTACGATGAACATGATTCATGTGACGACTCATGATGAATTTTAAAGAAAATGTTTTATCACATAAAGGACATTTAAAGTTGGGAAGCTTCAAATGAACACTTTGCATGTGTCGTTCAAGAGTTTTCTTATTGTAATAAAACTTGTTGCATTCTTTAATGTCACAATAAAAAGCAATACGATATTTTTTCGGAAGATGAGTCTTCAAATGAACTCCCAAATCGCTTTTCCAATGTGATGCAAATCCACAATAATCTAAATTAAAAATCATTAAATAAAGTTTAATTCTTTGTACTGTTTAAAGTGAATGACAAACCACAAGAAAATTTCTTAACGATTCCTGATGAGTGAACGATGAGATGTCGATTAAATGATCCGATTTGATTGAATTCTTTCGAACATTTCTCGCACATGAGGCGACGAATTTTCTTTTTACATTTTGGTTTTGTTGTCTGCTTCGTGCTTTGAGTTTTAGGTGAGTTTTTATTTGATGTCCTTTTATTGTTATTGTGTTTAAGTTTTGATGTTGGAATATCACGAGAAGTTTCAATTTCTACTAAATCTATCTTGTCGGCTTCTTTTGTCGTCTCAAAATCAGTTCTCTGTTCATGATCATCGTTAATTATTGAAGTGTCTTCTTGTTCTTCAATTTTCACAAAGTTAAAACTACGATTTTGTTTTCCTAATAGTTTAAGAAGCATTTTTTGGTTTTCAAGAAAAGTTCTCTTAAGAACTGAATATCTTGCGAGTAAAGAATTGCAAGTCATACAAATTTGTCGTGAAAGTTTATCACAAGAAATAAGCTGAAAGAAATATTTTTGAAATGAGGTAATTTGATTAGAAAACATCATTCAATGTTTACTTGCGAGGATGTGAATTCTTCGAATCTTTCTTCAATTATGTTTGTGATCTTTAAATATGTATCTCCTTTAGTATTTTCTAAACAACATCGACATTTATCAACGTAATCATTTAAATCACTGCTCATGTTTTCTTATATCTTATTACACAAGGCAACGTCAATATGTTTAATTATTAATGATAATTTCTTGAAAATTGTTTATCTTCTATTTTTGTTTATGTTATTATACGTACTAAGTCATTCACCTCGAATTTAAACACTCTCTCCTGAAACTCGTCTCCCAAAGTTAGTTTCAGGTGGAGAGTGTGGAATCTTGGAACAATTATCTCGGAAACTCAATTATCTCGGAAACTCATGAGTTTTTGCTGTTTAATGAACCTACCCAGGCAGATAAGTTTAATTCTTCGTAGATATTCAGGCTTCATATTTGTATGTTTAATTTGTCTAAGAAAGAAAACATTTTCTATTTACGTATATTCAAGGAGGCTGTCAAGTTAAATTCCAAATTAAATTTCTAATAAAATTTAAAAAGAAAAATTACGATCACAGAATTTCTCAATCATTTCATTTTACTCAGTGTGCAAATAAATAAAAAATCTTTTAAAAATGAATATTTTCCTAAACAAATTTTATAAAAAACATTTTAATAAAAATATATATTAACTTATAACAACACCTTTACTGAAATTTTAGAATAAGAAAAGATCTTCAATTGATTCACGTCTTTTGATGCTGAACTCACCACGAAAAATGTGCGTGTTACCTCAGAAAGCATAAATCTGACTTCTCCTTCCGAAGATGTTGGTAGTAGAAAAATGAGAAGGAAACGAGACAACGATAAAGTTTTCTTTTTCGAAAAAGAAGAAAATTTCTTACAAACCAAACGGAAAGTCAGAGATTTCCCCGCTTTTCTCTCTCCTTACAAATCGCGCATTTTTTCCTGTTCAAGATTTTTTTACAATCATTGGGGGAGTGAGGGTGGAGGTGACGATACTAACACAACCGCATAAAAGTCTCAAGGAATTTTTCTTAACAGGATTTGAGTTTTTCTTTTCTTCTTTTTTCTCGTGGTGTGTGTAACCACAGTCGTGAGAACCACATTGGGTTTTCTTATTTTTTTCGTTTTTTTTTCTTTCCTGAAAAGGTTTTTTCAAGGCGGAGTTTGAAACCATAAATTTATACCATGTTTTCCACTCAAAATCGTTGTCGAATGTGTTTTTCCGTTGATCCCACCAGCACCCCAATCGAAGTAATGAGAATGAGGTTGAAACGTTCGAGCATCACCATCACCATTTTTCTTATTTATTGTCGTCTTCATTTCAGTCGAATTGATGGAAAGAAAGTTCTGCTTGCGTCGTTTGTGTTGGTTTCTTAGCGATTCTTTTGATATGAAACAAAAAAATGGCAATACAAGCAACAAAAGTTTACTCAACTCAACTCCCTCTCAAACCACTCGTCCCCACTAACTGGAGAAAAGAAAATCGTAAGACGATTCTCCAAGAAGATTTTTTCCCTCGTTTTGCCATCGAGAAGCTTTTTCTTGGGTCGTGTTATTATTATTTTTATTCTACGTTTCCTCAAGCCACAAAACATCACCGATCGGGTTAGCCATGGAAAGGTTTTCGCGGTGACAGAAACATTCTTGAAGTGATCGCGAACGGACGGAAACGGATTTGATTTCAATTTTTATTTTAAGCAGTTTTTGGAAAGCATTTTGGTGAAAGTGATTTTTATTTTTTGCTTTTATTCGGAAAATTTTCTGTTTTCCCAAAGAAAAAAAAAACGGAAAATCAAAAAAATATTTCTCAGTTTTAAAATGCATATTGCTTCTGAAGTGACATCGACAACTGCTCCACCAGAGCAAAATGTAAATTCTGGTGCTAATAATCAACGAAATTCATCATCAAATTCCACGAATGGTGGTTCAGTTGCGACAAATTCTGGTCGCGATTCACCGTTGACAGCGGAAAATTTAGCTGAACGAACAATCGATTCATTAATTGCAGAACATCCTGGTGAATTAACTCGAACAGGTTCTCCACATATTGTTTGTTCGACACTTCCATCACATTGGCGGTCAAATAAAACTTTACCAGTAGCATTTAAAGTTGTCGCTCTTGGTGACGTTCAAGACGGAACTCCATGTCACTTAATGTGTGGAAATGATGAAAATTTTTGTGGAGAGTTAAGAAATTGTACAACCGTGATGAAAAATCAAGTGGCAAAGTTTAATGATTTAAGATTTGTTGGTAGAAGTGGACGAGGTGAGAAATAATTAAGAAGATTTGTTTTTGTGTATTTTTTTATGTTTAAATCTGACATTTCACGAAATTATTTTCAATTTTCGCGATGAATTTTCCTTGAAATCAATCTCAGATGATTGCCATGGTGCTTTCAATTCTTGCGGAAAATCTCTAACAAATTTTCTCGCATCATTCCCCAATTTTAAATTCCTTTCCCCGCTCGTATTTTGTCTGTCCTTGATGTTGCATTTAAATTGCTGACAATCTATCCCTGGTTCTTTTTTATTTAATTTATTGATTTCGTTATCCTTAGAGATCAATTTTAAAACATTTCTTTTCTCTCCGGTTTTTTGTGTCGCCTTCGTTGTTGGCTGCCTTCGAGATTAGATGGTTTGGATTTTATTTAATTTCCTTTAAGCTGCTTTTGCTTAAACATTGAAACGACGGGAGACTTGTTATGTGTTGTGCTATGTTTATTGGTAAATTGTTGACGGGGGTGTTAAGCCTTGCGGAATGTTCGATAATTGCCGAGGAAACTTTTTCTTATTATCTCATTTTTTTTTGTTTTCGCAACAAGAAATGATTCGATTCATGTCGCTCTATTTTCTCAATTGAATGCTTGATTGGCAATACTTACTTATGTTTATTTTATTCTCTTATTTATTTGTTTAAAATAAAATGAAAATCGTGGAAATCAAATTAGCATTTGAGATCAAACTTGTAATCAAAACGTGAGAGAACAAATCATCAAAGTCTTGAACAGCTTCAAACTCGCATTTCTCTTATCAATTACGTCCTTGCTACAGCATTCAAATGACAATAAGACACGTTCTTAAGATGAAATGAAGTTTGATCACATTACACAAATAAACAAGCATTGCGATTTACGTAATTTTTTTTCCTTCTCAAATTAAATTTACGTGAGTGAGTCAGAAGTTAAGAATACGACAATGAATGTGTCGCTTGTTGATGGGTGAAGAAAAAGAAATTAAAAAAGAAAATGTGGAAAATCATTCAAATGCAAAGTAGAATAAAAAAAGAAAGCGGAGGCAAAATAATTAAATTCCATTCGTCAATCAAATGGCAGTGTAAAGAGAACAAGAAATTTTGATTCGAATTCTGTTTGATGAGATCGCATAAGTAGAAAAAAGGATTATACGAAGAAATTCGAGAATGTCTTTGTAATATCAAAGTGCTTAATCATATGCAAACGTAATTCGATGGAAAACAATAAGAAAGTTGATCTTCTCAGTGCGAGCAAATTAAATTAAAAATCTTTTTGTCTTCTTATTTGATTTCATTGGAGCGTTATTTGCTTCTAGTCTTGCTTCAAGTCAATAACAGAGAAGAAAAGCTAAGAAACCGAATCCAACCTAAAAGAAAAAATTTGTCGTTCACTAATTTAACGCTTCAAAATTAAACTCAAATATCATTAAAGGCCAGTGGCATTGACCGAACTTGGTCATTGAAACCTTAGCAACATCAACAAGGTGGTGGCGATGTAATGAAAATTTAAACTGAAGTTTTCTTATTTTTTTATCTCTGCTCTTCGCTTTCCTTTCTCATTAAGCTCCAAATTATTTCTTCTCGTTTTTCTTGGAAAGCGTTTCGTTTCTCGAGGCTCCACACAACGCTTTAAGGTTACGCGACTCAGCGAGATACATTTTCCGACCATTTTGGTTGCTTGAATAATTCATGGAGATTTTTCTTTTTTTTCCTCTACCTTTCCGCTACTCACCGTAAATTGCGTTGATCTTGAGTCGCTTTTTAACGAGACCAGGAAGGGAATGAATTTGAAAACAAAAAATTGTATAAAAAATATGGGGAAAAAATGAACACCGACGATGTGGGTCGACATTAACTGAAGCTGTTGAGTGGGAGTAAAAGCGGAACAATAAACAAACAAACGTGAAAATAATAATGATGTTTGAGCAGGGAAAAAATATTTGATGTTGATATTTTGACTCAGAGGCTTTAGAAGGATCTTCACAATATCCAGTGCTTGAAGTCTGTTTGTGTTTGCATTTTTCTTTCATTTTCCTCGCAGTAGATTATTATTAATTATTCATTTAATCACCGTTGCAATGGCATTTTAGTCTTTTTTTCTCGTCTATTGACTCACGACTGAGCTGATGATTGTAATTTTACTATTGATTTTCAAAAGAAATCTTCATCTGGTTGAGATGGAAAGAAAAACGTCAGACATGCCACTTCGTTTGATGTTGTATGAATTATTTAGTCCTACACATTATATAATTAGAACAAAAATAAAATGATAAGAATATCTGAATAATTGGCAACTGAAAAATGAAGAAGGAAGAGAAGGAAAAAGAAATTTATAGGAGTGAAGCTTCGTGGTCGAGACCTTTGGTTGAATGTGTTTCGGTTTTTGTGGAAATGGAATCTTTTTACATTTTTCATTAGCACTCAAGCTCTGGAAAGAAACGTCAAGACATTGAAGATGAACATTTTGAGCCGTAAAAAATTACGTTTATTATTTTTTAAGAAATGTGGATGATTTGAGAGTCGTGAAATGAATAATTGATAACGAAGACTCATAAAAAAATTCTCAGTGTTACAAATTCTTTGCAAACTCCACAACATTAGATGGAAATGAAATTATTGAAGAATTTTTGGTCTCTAATGGTGAAGAGACTCAAATGTATTGGGATGTGAAACGACATCATCTTAAAGCCTCCAAAACCACTCCAATGTCAACCACCGAAAATTGTTTCTTGAGGAAAAGTCTACGGTATGATGCATCAACAGTCAACCCAAAGCCAATGAAACCATTAAACTAGTGTGTGAGCTTCTGGTATAAATTGAATCATTAAGTGAAAGGTTGTGGATTGAAAATCTATTGGAATCTGTCATGATTCTGGTTGAAGTTATTTATTTATTTCATCTGAATATTTGAGTGTGTGTTTGTAATCTTTCGTCTCATACCATTCCAGAAACTTCTCCTTTAATCCTTTAAGTGCTTTGTTCATTTCATTTACTGGCAAATTTCTCATCGTTTTCCTTCTAACTTACCGATGACATCACAATATGGTACGATGGGTCGTTTGCATACATGTTGATTGTTGGACACATTAAGGATTTCCTTAAGATGACTTGAATAAATATGTTTGCCATTCGATTTATTTCCTTCGTTTCGGAAACAGGAAATCTGTTAAGGGATGAAAGGAAAAAAATGAAGAAAAGTTTTACTTTCTTCTTCCTTCTCCCGATGTTCATTTTGAGTTCTGCGAAAAACCTTTTCATAGAAATATAAATATTTAAATCAAGGAAGTAATTATTAATTTGTATGTTGTGTTTACTTGAAAAAAAAACGAAATCAATTTTTTGGAAAACAACGGAAGAGGAAAATATTGTTAAGTCTCGATTTACCATTGAAATAAATAAGATAACTTCCTTCTTTATGAATATTCAGTATTCCGCGCTTCTATAACACCAATAGAGAGTGGCTCGAGGATTTATTTTAATTAAAACACTTCACTTCCCTTAAAAGGAACGTAAATAGAAAATACTGTTAAATAAATACTGTTAATATAAATTACTGTTTACACAAGTTAAAGGATAAAATATTTCCACAGAAATCTTTTGCTTGTTTTATCTCAAGAAACTGTTACTAACATCACATCGCTTCAGCCTTCATGTTATTAATTTTCTATCTTATTAACGGCACAAACAGTGAGAGTAAAATTGTTTTAATAATACATCAAGTGAAAATCCTTTCTGCTTAGTGCTCCTCACTCCACTTGACTCATTTTCTCTCCTGGTTTTCATGGTAAAGAGAAAATTCGCCTCCGTCGTGCGTGGTTTGAGAACAAAGTTTTTCTGCTTTTCCGTGCGAAGGAAAAATGAGCATTCTAATGGTATTTAAGGATTAACATTTTTCTTCAACGTAAACAGAAAACTTTTGAGCTCGGGGGTGGATCTCTTTAGCTATAATTAATTTTGTTAATTAATAACAACATCAAGGATCTTCCAACATCCCCTCAAACCTTTGAATGGAGATTCTGAAATTTAAGAAAGCAAAAGAAAAAAGTTTTTTACTAAACTAAAGGACTTCTATTTAATTAAATAAAACCTTTCATTTAAGTAGCTGTCACTTTCCTGTGTTTATTCGGCATCGTACATCAAACACCTGAGCAAACCTTCACACATAATTGCGTGTCAAAATATGAAAAGCCATCAATAATAATGCAAATCGAAAATTCATTTGCAAGTTGTGAGTTGAAAATTATCGGTAAACATTACGCTTAATAACTTTTCAGATTAAACATGAAGAGAATCGTGCAATTTTCATGTATGAAAGGCGGTTTAAGTTAAGTTGACATTAAGTAAACATTCGGTGTTTAATTGGAAGATGGTGCACCTGAAATCGAAGGTAATTCTTCAATCAACCGCCGCCCTCTGAATGCATAAATATGTTCATGTCGAGCAAATGTGTCAACAAACAATCTCGAGATGATCCTTAAACCTTGTTTGTTAATTTAATCGTAATCTAATTTCCCCTTGATCTTTTGATACACACCAAAAATGTCTGAAGTCATTGATGACACGACAAAGCAACATGAATCAGTTGAAATGCCTGTACAAATATTATGGGAGCTGAAATTTACCGTTTTCTTGTGATTCTTGAGGGAAGTGAAGTGAAAACATAGAAGGGGTGTGGAAAATTCTGTTATTATGTTGTTGTCTGTCGACGAAGGTGGAAAGCAAAGTGATTGATTTTCTGATACACTCAATGTATGTCAATATTTACGAAAATCGTTTAAATTTCAACTTTCTATGAAGAAAATTGTTTGATTGGGTTTTTCTTCTTGATTTTCTTCTTTTTACAAGCAAGCAAGCGCTTTGCTCTATTAAACATGAATGTCTTTCATATATTTTAAACCTAGCAAGAATTAAGTTTTCTTTTTGTTATTCTTCACTTTATTGAATTTAATATTGAATGCATGCATGTCTTGTGATCAATTTAGTGGAACAGAATGAAACTTAAATCTCATACCGTTGACTAACGAATCGTTGAATGCACAGATGGGTTAACGGGTAGAAACAGCTTTGAAGACATTTACTTTATTGTCCTTGGTTTAATATTTAATAAACCATTCGTCGTGGATTTTTCATGACGAGAGAAGCAAGTGCGGAATTATTCATAAATTGTACTTCTGTTGATGCTTCTTTGAGCTTCGCGTCTTGGGTTTTCTTTTTATTACATTTCTTTGTATTTCTGTTTTTGAGGATCCCTTGGTATTGTCTCATGAAGTAAAGAAACATTTGCTGAGAGGCTTCTTATGGTAACACTAAAACTTTTCCACGAAAACTCATATTTTTGTTTCACCGTATGTTTAATATTTCGTCTTTTTCTCTCTTCCCTGCGAAAATGTTGAGTTAATATTTCTCAACATCCTTTTACGTTCCATGCCGCTTACCCCAAGATGAAAACAATCCACGAAAACAGTAAATATTGTTAAATTTACCAACAAAAGAAACTCATTTCGGAAAAGGAATTGAAGCTGATGAAAACAACGCTGGAGGGAAAGCTGTTTAAGTTTTAACTTTAAACCTTAGCTACACAAAATGAACAATCCGATATTTTCATTTGAGGGAAAAGGGAACATTAATTAGGAAGGAAAATTTCTTTGATTTGTCAACTTTGACTTTTAGGGAAAACAGATATTGATTTAATTAAAAAAAATAATTTCATTTGAATGGAAGTTAAATAAAACAAACTTGAATGTCATCATTTAAAAGCTTTTCCCAAATTTAGTCACGAATAGTTTATGACAAAATGAAATTAAATTTTTCAGCCACAAAAATTCACGAGTTTTCACTTTTTTCACCCCGCGAAAAAGTTTTCCCCGAGAGATACTAAAAGACACCTGTTGTTGAACTAGCACCAGGAGACGAGTAGAGAGATAGCAAACAACGCCAAGCAGAATTTAATACAACGTGCGTTTTTGTCTATTGAAATGACTGCAACACAGCTTGCGATTTTCATAATAAAATGTAAATCCTTAATTGTAATTTTCACAATGTCATAAATCTTGCAAATGTTACAGCGTGCAATGTTGTTGTCGTCAACAAATAATCAACAATTCGAGTCTGAACATCGACATGCAAGAACTTTAAAACCATGAAACGCAATACGTCTTAATTAGCACAATGTTGAAATTATTTATAACAAATTTGAAATGGAAATTATTTACTTCATGCGGCTGAATTTTCCTTAAACAAACTGCGATTTATTTCAGCAATTTCTATGGAAGACTTCAACATTTCCTTCCAATATTCAACCCAATATAATTTAGTAAATAACAATAATTCATTTAATGAATTATTACATCAGCATGATGATTAAAACTTTTCGTTTTCCCTAGAAAACTTCACTGCAAATTATCGCTTGTTAGCTTGTAAACCTCCACCCGTCAACACATTCCTCAACATTTTCTCGACTCTTAACTTTATCACACAAGCCATAAATTTTTCGTCTGATAAATATTCAAGCAGTTTTGTTTCACTTTGTCGTCTCCCCAGTGAGATATAGAATTAAGATTAGTTCCAACATTGACCAGTGAATTTACAAATTGATTTTACATTTGTTGGGATTGTTTTTCTCTCTTGCTGATTACATCTATCAATGCCATGACTGGGAAATGTTACAAGAATAAAACGAGCACTCCAACCAACCTAAATCGAGAGAAATAAACTTTCTCGTATGCTTCTACACAATTTTTACGCGATACCATCAAATGTCTTTTCCTTAAATGAACTTCCTAGTTTTTATTTATCTATTTCTTGTCCTCCACACTTTTATCACGGTCGGGATCACAATGAACGAACACAATGTTAGCTGGGGACTGTTTAAGTAGCAGCATTAAAAACTATGAACATATTTTCCACATCAGCAACTTTTGCTCTTTTTTCAGCTTTTATCGAGCAAGACAAAAGTTTATCCGGGACAGAATAATTTTCACATAAAATGTTGTAGGAAAATTCTTTTTTTCTGCTAAATAAAATTTTGTGATTTTATTTTTTCGCATATTTGGATGGTTTAGCCTCAGAGAGTCCACTAAATAATTATTCATGTCCAACAGCTGCCAAAACCATGTTCATGTGATTTTTAATCATTCCTGCTGAAGTTTTAAATGTTTTACGCTTCATCTGCGTGTTTAGAGCATGTTTTGAAGGTTTTCCATCCTCCCACTCTACTCGCTTGTTAATCCACACAGCCCTCTTTAATCAGAGGGCCAACATAATTTCCATTCAATATTTTCCAAGGCTTCAAAATAATCTCTGTTCCCTCTCATAACACCAAGTGGAAAGTGAGGGCGAAATTTATGCTCAAAATAAAAAATGCAACACGAGCTGTTTATTAAAATACATCAATAAATAAATTAATATTTTATTGGGTTGAGCATGGATGTTGCAACATGGGAAAAACATTTTTTACGATGTTGTTCTCTTCGATAAATAAAGAAAGGAACAAAAGTTATTGTTATCCCCTCACTCTCCTCTTGTTCAGCTTCTCATGACCTATAAAGAATTGCGTTCCGGACATGATACTCAACAATTTTGCTAAACAACAAAAAAATTCAGAGAAAAGCCAAAGTTCAAGAGGAAAAAATTTCCTTGCTTGATTTTCGACAAGACGGAAAATGATTGCAAATGAAAAATTTCTGGGTGAAGGGCGAGAAAAGCAACAAAAAAAGCAAGAAATGTCGTGAAGTTTCCTTCGATAAATCAATTTTGTTTTCTTCCTTTATCTTCTCAACACCCCCACTCTATATTGTATTCGATGTTAGATTTAATCAAAACGATTCGGGAAGTATTTTTTATTGACTACAATTTTCACTTCGATTTTTTGGAATGAGAGGAAACTTTATTGGATTTTATTTTATTTTTTATATTTTTCTTTCATTGGCTTATGCGGTGATTGCTTACAAAATTGTTAATTTCATTTTATGTCTCTCATTACAGGAAAAAGTTTCACGCTAACAATTTGCATCTCAACAACACCAATGCAAATTGCAACATACACGAAGGCAATAAAAGTGACGGTCGACGGTCCCAGGTTGAAAGTTTACAATTAAAATTTTTATTATTTATTCTAATAATTCTTTTTGTTTTCATTTCTACAGAGAACCGCGAAGTAAGATTCGTCACCAAGGCTTCCATCCATTTGCATTTGGACCACGATTTCCAACAGATCCTCTAATTGGTGGAATTCAATTCAAACTCGGTAATTAAATGAATAATTTCTTTATTGGAATCATAAAAGATTGAATGAGAATTTTCATGACGACAATTGTGCATGAGCGAGTTTTCATATTTAACCTTCGCTTCATTTCTCTTATCATTTACATCACTTCCATATCAACCCAATATTTGAATAGACTTGTCAACACATCACCATGCCTTTCACACTCCATCTTTCTCTATCCAGGAATTTTCACAATAATTCTCCATCCAACATCGTTTGATAATTTGTGTTTCACAGCATGATGACGAAATTCGTAAGGGAAATAGGAAAATTGATATTCATACGAGTTTCTCGTTTTACATCAGAGGGTGATGTTATTGTCACATTGTAACATGGAATGTAATGACAACATTTTCATTGCATGCATTGAACAAATTACCTTGAACTTTGACATCTTCTAACACTCATTTGATTTCAATTTTCGCATAAGAGATTTTTGTTTAAATAAGTGAGACACACGAATCGTGTCTTGTTTCTTAAATAAAAAACTTTATTGTCGGCTACAAATACAAGTTTTAGACTTTTGCAAAAACTGAGTCACTTGGGACACTTTTGTCTTATCAGCTGTTGAAGACATTTTACAAATTGCCTTCTTTGCTTTCTGCTTGATTTTCCCTCCCTGTGAGAATAACAGAAAGAAATCAATTTGCTGTTCGTTCATCGACATCAGATGTTATAAAGCAGCAAGAAAGTTTGTAAGAGAAAAGACGAATTTGTTTCTAGTATGAAAGTCGATGTTAAATTGAGCGAAATTTGCGCAAATGTTGAATGGAATGACAAACAATTTAATTTTGTCAACGACATGAAGCGAATTTTTAGAATTTCTTTCCCTAGCTGGTTGCACAAGACTTTCTTGATAAATTTTCTCTTGTTTAAAGTCGTTGTTTTGCATTCTTCCCATGACTTTTAAAGGAAGCTAAAGAACAGCGAATGGGGTTCAGAGAAGTAACTATTGAGTTTCACCATAAGAAGCATCATTCATATTTATTGAGCCATTGTATGTTGTAAGCGCCTTCCGGGAGTTTCCAACCCGATATAAAAGCGATATTCTTTGTGTGCGTGGGCGTCTTGTTATCGACGGAAATTCGAGGCGAATGATGTATTTATATTGTCGACAATATTTACATTTTTGACATTTTAACATCATGAAAATTTAGTGGGGAAGAAAAATATGAAATATCTAAACGGAAAAAGATTTTTTTTTCTTCCTTACACCCTCGAGACAGCTCTTAAGAGTTCATCATTTTGCTGTAGCTTTTGGCAACGGGGAAGAAACGACAAAAAGTTATATTTTAATGTTTACTTGTTGTTGTTTACACTTTGTATTAAATTGCGCTCTTATTTGGGTTTTCTTTGCCTTCTTGGATGTTTGATAATGTCAAGTAAAAAGATTTTTCATGAATTTCCATAATTTCAATGTTTTAGGGATATTTTACAACAGTTGAAAATGTTCGATCAATGAATGTAAACCAATTTATCACTATTCATATTTAATTAATTATCTTTCATGATGATGATTACAGAGGTAAAAAAGCCAACACTTTTCAGTTCCCTTAATTTAATAAGCCACTTTGCCTCTTTCACTTCCAATTTCCCTTAATTTCCTGTTGTCGTCATGATGTGTGTGATGGGAATTTTCTTCATTTCCCCGTCTACCTTTTCCCTCTTTTTTCATTCGTTTGCTTCGTGTCAAAAATGAAATTTAATATCGCATAATCACAATGGCATCATTATTCAGTATAAAGTGAAACTGGTGTTGGTAATGAAAAGCGAATTGGGAGCTTTCTTTTGCATTTACTGAACTGAAACGAAATGAATGATTAAAAAACTTTATCGCAGCTGCAAGTTTAATCACAATGCAATTAAAGAAGAACGGAAATTATTTTATTTCATTGAATATCTGAAAATTAAGAAGAATCTTAAGAGCACACATGAACACATGTCGTTGTCAGTTGTTTCCTTTGATTAATCTTATGCTTTAGCTCAACATATTTAATCATGAATCTCTCTTTCTTTATCTGTTTTCCTCCTCAGTAATTATGTTTTAGGTTCTCGTGCAAAAGCCGTTTGTTTTCTTTATCATTCATCAAGATTTATTTCTTTTAATATTTTCTTAAAGGCATCTGAAGCTCCTTCTTACATTGACTTCTGAACAACAACAAAGAGAAGCTTCTACTTGCTTCTTCTCGAAAGATTATAATGTTGAGACATTAAAGGATGTGAAGGAATTTATAATGGTTTTTTGTTGTCGTCATTTTTTCCGTTTCTTAATCTTATCAGCCATGCATAGAGTGTGGAGAATGATATCAAACGACGCTCTTAAAGTTGGTTGCTACACGTTCATTACATTCTATCCATCACCGAGTAATTATTCATTAAAATCCTTTTGCCTTGAACCTCTTGCCTTTGCTTCAACCCACACATCAGTCAATGTCGTCTTATCATGCGATTTCATCTCCATCTTAATCTTCTTCAACTTCTTCCTCTACCTCTCCTTACATCCTTTCAATATGCTGCTATTAATGCCTAAATTTTCGCTTCTCTCTCATAAGATTTCATTAAAACTTAATCATGAATGACTTCGAGTGTGCTATGTAATAAAATTCTGAAAGAATTCCTTCTCGTTTTCTTATTTTTTCCTTCATTCTCTTTTTGAATAAAGAAGAAAGAAGTTTTCTCCTCGTGTTGCCTTTCAGTAAGCGAAGAACAACCCTCGTTTCAGTGTCACGTTTACACACATTCAAGTTTCAACTTCTCGTATGCTAAATATGTGATCTTTCACCGTGTTTGAAATTTCATTAAGTGCTCATTAAATATTTAATATTTTTCATTAATTTTACGCCTCATCATCGTCGTCATTAAACCACTCGCAGTGTGAAGTAAATAAGAAGAAAACTTTTTTTAGTGACTTCTTATATAAATGGAACTTTCTATGATAATTAATAATCAACTTTCTCCGACATACGTGACTTTGGCAGGAAAGTTAACATTCAACAGCAACAATGATGGCGCATTAGCGTAGAAACGCGTAAAAATCTAATTAAGTTTACACCGTCAAAGTTTCTTTCTCAACCCTTTTCCAATGAATGAAAATTCGCTCGTAAAATTTTATTCTTTGAATGCAATCGAGTAGATTGAATAAAAATTAAGGATGAATTTCAGGAATGAGATTCGACGATAAAAGAATCCTTTCTGAATTGTATCGTCGTCGCCAAAAATACTAAATGCTTCCATGTAATCCGTAGGTAAAGGAAATTTGCTGAATCAAAGTCTCAATGATGCGTAATTGACCCTTTTGTAGCGATCAAATTTAAAAAATGTCCTTTTTCTAATTTCCACTTTTGTCGTTGTTTCCGGCATTTATCCATTGAAAGTGTGAATAAAAAATTAATCAGAAGACAAAAAGAGAAGGAAATGAAATTAAAATCCTTTCGTTCATTCTTCAGCGACCATTCCCTTCAAACTCATTGTTGTTAACACACAAAAACCGATGAAGGAAAGCCAATCGAGTACCCTTCTTAACATTGGCATTGGGAGGAGATGACACACAAAAAAATCCTTTTCCCTCAACCGTCTTCTTCCATTTGTCACTCAATAAATGTGAGTAAAGAATGAACAAAAAAATCTCTAAAAATTGCCTCACGCTTTTCACGGCCGATAATCCTACAATGATTATTTTAGCAATTGAAACTTCACCCTTTTTCTGGTTGTTGTTTTTTAAATTGTAATTCCATAAAAATGAAAACTTTTGTGCTCGACACTAAACATTGGACGATGCCTAATGGCCTCGAAAATTTTTGAATTAAAAAAAGAGAGAAAATTACGAAAATAATTCGTGCATGAGAATGAATTAAAGTTTTCATAAACACAACAACATGTCACAAATGGAGAGAGCAATAAAAAAACTTTGAGATTAAGTTTCAATCAATCTTCACTCAATTTAAAGGATTTTCCTTCATCTTAAAAAGCTTTAAATTGTTGGGGGAAATATTTATGTAGCTGCATGACATTAAACTCTTCTCATTCCACCCACACTTTACTCATTAACGTAAAGCATTTCTCTTCCCCAAAACACACACAAAACATTGAAGTAGATGCGGAATAAAAGGCGATTAATTGTTTCAAATTCTACAAAACAATAAAAAGAATTAACGCTAAAGTACTTTTAGCTTCCCCGTGGAATATTGAAATTTGCCTTAAAGTACTAGCATAGACGTCCCGTAAAGGGTTACGATGGTAAACCTAAAGAAGCACAATCCATTATTAAAATACTTATTTCAATTGTCTTAACGATACAACGATGAGAGAAAGAAAGGAAAAAAATTGTTGTTAACGACAATGAACCCCTTTTTATTGTGATCCTTAAAAGAACATTTTCTGATGGTCCCAGTAAGAAGTTTTAGTTGGAATGTGAGTTGATTGAGTTGAAATTATAATCAGTTGAAATATCACAAACTGGGAGTCTTTATATTTGTCGCAATGAGACGAAATAAGCAAGCGAAATCGTTATAATCACAATGAATGCCATTGAGTCGCTTAAACAAATATCTCTTAATGTTGATTATGAGTGGAGGATTGTGTTGGCAGGAAGAGACGATTTTTCAGCTTTTGAAAATTGTTTTAAATATTTATTGAAGAAGAATTTTTCCTTAAGAGGGTTAACAGAGTTTAGAATGATTTTCACCAATTTTTCATTTTGAGTGTCGTGTTCACGCGTTCATAGCGTTTGCTAATGACACATCGGCGGTTTGAGGCTTAGCAGAAAGTGCGGTTCGCGACACTACCTCCACCACTTGTTCATCATAATTTCAACTTTTCTCATAAATTTTTCACAATTCTTTTTCATAAATAATTGCAAGACATTTGAGGGTTGGCGTGGAAGTGTTTTCATCTCATTATTTTGACAAAATCGCGTTAAAAACTTTTTGGATTTGTTCCTGAAAGGTGACAAATTGTGGGAAAACTGAAAGCGTCAAGATGAAGTTTAAGTGAAGAAGAAAGCAAAGTTTTCTTCTATTTAATTAAATTTTCCTTCAACTTTTCACTTAATCCTATCGAAAACAGAAAAATGTGAAAAGTTTTTCGTAATTTTCATTTTGTGTTACAACTGAAAGACACAAAGAAGAACTAAAAATCCCATTAAACTTTAATTATGACTTCAAGTCTGATTGTGAGACGTGTCAGTTAAGCAGCAAAAGTTTTCTTTCGATCATCAAAGGAAATGAAATAAAGAAAAATAAAAAAGACGAATCTGTGGAGAAGCCACGAAGACTGTGATAGTTGCTTCTGCCATGAAACCCGCAGAATGTGTTGGTGGAAAAATTATAGTTTTTATGGGTGTTGGTTAAGAAAATCCTTGGAAAATTGCACAGAGTTTGATTGTCGATGTGCTGGTGGCTCCCCAAAAACAACAAACGAGCTCTTTAAATATGCACAAAAGTCTTTCGATTTACTTCATGACTCATGCTTGTGTTCGTGAGGAAGAAGCAAGCAAAGTAAAGAAATTCGAAAGCATTTTTGCGCTCTTAAGACGCAGCCAAGTAATGAGTTGAGGGTGGTTTTCTCCTTCGGTTGTGTTCATCACGTAAAACGGGTTACAGTTACTGGAGATGATGAAACTCTCTCAATCTCATCTTCTGTTGAGAGAAAATATAGGAAAATGGGAAATAGAAAAACCTGGAAACTGCTTGTTGTGTCTGAATAAAAGAAAAAGCTTCAAACTCTCTCAATAAATTGCTCGTACATAAAGATGAAGTTTAAAGTGGTTTTATAGGGATAGATGCCGTTTTTTCGTTTGGCCACCAATAGTAGATGGTGAACGAAAGCATTTCTCTCTCTCTCGCTCTTCCTTCCCACCCACTACTACCGCAATATTCAACCATTTTTCTGCACACATATTGCTTCACACTGAGTCTCGTTTATATATGCGGCGCCCACAAATGAATATATTTCTTGTGGGTGGGCGCGCGCTCGTTGCGGAGCTTTCATTTATTTTACTGCTACTTTTGTGTGTGTTTGTGTGTATATGTACTTGTTCTTCATATTCATAACATTATTTCTTACCTTGAAAAACCTTTTTCCTTCTTCTTTTTTTATCGACACTCACAACGGTTTCCTGGTTTTCCTCAGCACATGCCAGGATGATTTGGTTTTATTTGAAACCTCTTTTGCCTTTATATGTAGATAAGCAAACAATGGTAACATTTGGATGTTTATTTCATCAATGAATATAACGTTGGAGATTTATTGGGTGGCCTTCATATTTATTTTTCTCAAACTATCGGTGGTTGTAAGATGAATGAACTTTACGGAATAGAAGAAGGAAGCACATCGTCGTGAAATTTATTCAAATAAGGGAGATGGTTGTAAATTTCATTATACATAAAAGTTTCCTATTTTTTAAAAACCTGGAATGGTTTAGTAGTAACTGAAAACTTCCAACCTTTGTTCTTCTTTGTTAGTGAATGTTTTTAGGTACAGACAGTCGATCTTCTTCTTCTCCATCTCTGATACCTATTATCGATTTTTTTTCTTCATCTCTATAGCTTCCATGTTGTAGAAATTCTACATTTCTTTATGAAAAATAAGAATGAAAGAAAAATTGTTTTCATTTGCAGGTTTCCCTCATCATTTACCAGGAATTCCAACATCACAAGCTCATCTCGCTGGGTCACCTGATTGGAGAGTCTTAAATAATCGACCGTTTCCACCGTCACAATATTTTCATCATCACCAGCATTTTGCAACACATAATGTGTTAGCTGCAATCGATCGAATGGAGCGACCTTTCTTGGATGCCAGTACGTAGTTTTGCAAACACTTTGATTGTTGTTTCTTTGCTTGTTAATAATTGATCAACTTTTTTCTATCTTCTAGACAATTCAATTACAAGTCAAACGAAACTTCCAACAAACACAAACAGTCCAAGAAGTTCTCCTGAAATTGGAAACACGAAAATTACCGAAATTTCATCATCTAAAGATGACGATGACTTTGATAATGATAATGAGAATATTTCTGTTACGGGATCTCCAGATATAACATGCGATGGTGATACATTAAATGAAACGAAAACCGAAGGCGCTTTTACATCAATCATACAGAAAAGTCAAAGAAAATCCGAATTTACAACGCAATTTCCAGTCAATTCACACTTCACAGGAAACACTAATCCTATGATTAATCATGCTTTAGCGGCGCATCTCTTTTTTCAAAATCCCCTCCTGCCTCAACCAAACCAGTGGCTTTACAATCATTTGTATAACAATTATCACGACTTTCCTTGGTTACGTCACTCACTCGGGTCTAATTCATTGACAAATGGAAGCACTGAAAGTTCACAAATTGATGCATCTTCGTCATCATCCGGACTTAGTTTCATCAAACGTTCAATAACTTTGTTAACTAACAACAATTCGAATGATAAGGAAAATGATTCTGATGTTCAATCTTCATCATCCCCTCCAGTCTCATCAACGAAACGTTCTCCAAGTCCCGAAGCGGTTGCCGACACCGTGGGGAACAAACGAAAACGATCGACCAGTGTGGAATCAATCACTAAAGAAAATTTAAATGAGATAAATTGCAAAACGGAAAATTTCATCGGTCGAAATCGAATGGTTGCGGGCGTAAAGCATAATGATGTATGGCGACCATACTAAGCTTCTATGCTTAATTAAATTACTTTCAATCCCCTCCCGTTGTTGTAATTCGATCCCTTATCATATCATGATAAACCTTTTTTAAGTTTTTCACCAAAATGAATGAACATAAAACATTTTACTTCATCCCTTTAGTCTGTTGTTGTTTCGTAGAAGAAGAAAAATCGTCCACTTTAGGTCGTGAAAAGTTGTAAATAATTTTAGGACCGAAAGTCTTTCTAAAAATAATAAAGAAAAAATGTGTAAAATTTAAAAGTTTTAAGTGAAAAACCAGAGAGAAAAGGGGGATAGTAATAAAATATAAAATGTGAAATTAGAGAACAACAAAGCATTTTTAATTAGACATGTTGAAATATTTTCTTGCATGATTTTTGTGGCAGAAAATTTCTTTCATCAGTTCTTCCAATTATTGATGCTCTTTAAGAACTGCGCAGACTTCGTATCGAAGTCAAGAAGATTGTTATCAAATAATTGTCATTGCATTCAGTTTCTCAAGTGAAAAGTCTTACAATTTTTTCTGCTCAAAAGTTCATCCACATTGGCTTGTCAACGGAGTCAACGTAGTCATTTTGTTGAGAAATCTGCAAAACATCAACAACATCTTAGAGCATCACAAAAAAGAAATCAATGACAAAGTATTCAACGACGTTGAATCATTTTGTTCTCTCAGCATTCCGTCAGCTTGTAACAAAAGCATTGAAAAAAATCTCATCACAAACACGAGAAAGCTTCGCAATTTTGAAATTCTTGTGACATTGATGAATAAGATTTTCGCCTGATGATTATCCTGGAAAGAATGAAAGTGTCTGGAAAATCACCGATAATTTTCGTTCATTCCTCTTTGCTTCGAAAAAATTTTTCATTCTTTCATTTTTCTATCGTTTTCTTAAAGTGATTGATAGACGTCTTAATTAAATGTGGAATGAAAAGATGAAAAATAAAAATAAAATTCTGCACTTGACTCTCGTTAAAGAAAGAATGAAAAATAACAAAACATTTAACAGTGACGTCTCGCTTTCTCTCTTTCAAGATGAATGTCTCTGTGAATTATGAAACGAAGCTGACGTTCTTGATATTTTCTCAACTTGAAACCCAAAATGTCTGTTAAGTTTCCAACTTGTTTTTCAGCCTTGTTATCGCGATTCATCGAAGCGCAAATTTAATTGGTAATTGAAAGTCATTCGTACGATATTTTCCACAATGATTTCTCCCAAAAATCTCATACAACCTCAAACCAATTCTATATGGGCGAAGATTATAGCGAAAACATCCTTAAAGAAAGTATCATGTTTAAGTAATCATCAACAAAAAGGTTCTTGAAAATTCAAATCCTTTTCTTAAGGAAGAAGAGACCTTCAATTTAAGTTAATGTGCGTTCGAAAATTATAGGAAACGAAGCATCAGAAAGGATGTGGAAAATTAAATTTTCCTTTTTCCCTCTCATGTGTGTTCACCTCATCAGCATTTCTTGAAACTTTCTTTGTTTCTTTGAGAAGGGAAGCAGTGAAGGTTTCTTAATAAAAGTTTTTCCGAAAATCCAAAAGCAGTTAGTGAACCCTTTTCAATGACTTTTTCAACTTAAAGGAAAGCGATTTTATTTCTTTGTCATCACAAGCAAAGACATTCACATGTGACAGTGCTAATTAGACTAACAATTAAAGTTGTTTTCACATTTTTCTTTTATGAGAAACACAATAAATAATGATGATGTCTTTAAGAAAAGCTAAGAAGTTTTTTCCAACTGGAAAAGTTCACAACAATCTTCGACTAAGAAGTAGAAGTAAAAGTTAAGTTTCCGAAAACATCCCACGCATGTTTGAAAACTAATCTCGTGTTTCTTTTCTTTCCTTATAAACAACACAACAAATCCATTAATCATTTCGACCTTTCCTCAAGACTATTCTCACTCATAACTTTCTTTTCTTCTTCTGCCTTAAGTTCTGACATGATCTCAATAAATAATGAAGTCTCTAGTAGGGTCGAGGGATTGAAATTAATAACGTTGAGTGGCCCGAAACATACAGGAAAACTATCATATCGTAATTTTTCATATCCAGAGAGAAAAGTAATCAAAATTTCATTGCGCCATTTGTTACAATCTTGTGAGAAAAATGTCTGGAGAAGTACGCTCACTCTTACTTCTTACAGTTTCACCAATGCTATGATTTATTTCACTCCGTTCTCCCCAACCGCCCGCAATAAGGTTGATTAATGGTTTTGCTTTTTGTGCCCACCGATTTGCTACAATTCAATAAATCATTTTCCAGTGTTTGCAAAATCTTCGAGTTTCTCAATGAAGAAAAAGAAAATTTTATTTGGTTGAAAAATCTTCGTTTATGCATGCTGGTGTGCACATGTGATGCTATGAACTAAAGGAAGGGCATTGTCTGAGAGAGAAATAAGAAACAAGGAACAAGAATGTTCAAAAGTCATGGAAGGAAAACAAAAGATTTATTGTGTCATGAACAGCACGCTAATAAACTCCTTTAAACGAGTCAGAAGGGAGAGAAAATTCTTCCATTACATGCTTTAAAGTGGACTAGTTCAAATCTACTCATGTGAACATATTGAATCAAAAGAGAATCTTACACCAACTCACTATCATTGGTTAAATTTTGATAAAATCACGAACTATGTATCAGAATAAGAGAAACTTTCCATAAACTTTATTTCTATAAATGTTTGCAATCAACTTTTCCATCTCCATTAATGTTCATCCATTACTATGACTCCTTAATTATGTTGATTAAATAGCTTTACCTTTTAAATTAAAATAATTGAAGAATCTCCAAGTAAACAGCAAAAATCCCTTTGGGTTGAAAATTCACATGACCTCTTCACAGAACAATTTTGAGATCCTCTCCATTTGATTAATAAAAGCAAACAAGGAAATATTTTTATAATTTATGATACTTGAAGGTTTCCTCGATATTATGAGACGAAAGATTTTCAATTTAACTTACAAATTTTCTCGTCGCTTTCCATCGAATCTGTTTAATTAATTTTTTATTTAATTACAATTTTTTCTGTTGCCGCTGTTCATTTCTAACAACATTTTTTTGATTCTTTTTAGCACACCCAATCATGATGGTGAATTGTAAAGGGAATTTAGAAAAATGGTAATTATTAATGCCCAGTTGGGAAAATATGAGAAGAAAATGTTTGGCTGATGTTCAATGCGATTGAAAATTTTCCCGACTGGCATTTTCTTTTAAAATGGGGTAACTTTATGTGATTTTTTACTTCTTTCATTTTTTTTGCCTTCACGCACTCTCGAATTATCATTACAGTAATAATCATAGAAATGAGAGTTTATCACAGAAAGAAAAAGAGGAAAAATAATTAAAAGATTCTATCGTGACAAGGTGAAGAGGAAAATTGTTTGAAATTCTCTTTTTGGTTGGACTTTTTTTTGCAGCTTCTGTTTTTGTCTCGAACACCGCAGCGAGGGTGGAAGGAAAGTTAGACGGAAAATTGTGATAATTAAAATGAAGAGGGATTCAAATTAACAATTTCCTTTAAGAAATGAAAAAGATGCGCATTTTTTATTCTTTCTTCAAAACATTCTTAACAAGAAATGTAATCCGATGGGTTTTCTCTTCCATCTCTTTGTTTAACTTTCAGGGGCGAATCTTTTCTAAAAAACAAAAAAAAACCTGGGAAAGGTGTTCATTAAAGATTTCGGTTAATTGGGTTGAAAGGTTGTAATTTATTTAAACTCGTAAGGCCCAACTTAAGCATATCCCATCAGTTTTATCAGGCAATCCTCTAATGTCTACTAATGCTTCTTATTCTTCTTGTTATTCTTTTTTTATTCTCGTTGTCTTCACTTTGGCAACCAGGCTTGGGTTTCAGCGGGTTCTCTAATTTTACGTCTTTTTGCGTTTGGGATATTTTTCGCTTTTTTATTTCTCGTCGGGTTTTGTTTTCAAGTCATCTGATAAGGGTGGTTTATTTGGTTTTTTCTCGCTTATTTTCAGGGCTACCATGACATTTCTTAGGTTTATTAAAGTGGAACATTTCAGCTATCAACGAATTTTGAATCGAATTTTCCTCTCTAAGATTCTTAATATTCATATTTTCAATGATTTTTCCTACTCTCACTATGGTGACCTTCTGCTTAAACTTCTCAAATAAATATTTAACAAACAGTTTCCATTAAAAATTTAATCTTTTTCATTCTATTTCAGCAATCGAAGATTGTGGAAAGAGAAAGAAGTAAGAAATGGCTTAGTGAGACGAAAATAATTTATAAAAATTTTAGTTTTCGTCTTTCCCAATTTATTTACCAGAAAAAGCTCATTTCTCTTACAATCGATCCCTTGACATTAATTTGTTCAAATCTTCTACCATCTACCGTTCTTGACGAAGCCAATATGTGCTCTACATGCCACTTTAGCATGAAAGTCCATTAAACAAAATGAACGAGAAAAGTTTTCCGCAGCTACAGAAAACCATTTAAGCATTAAATCAAATGACATTAGAAGCGTCTCCATTTCACGTTATACTGATGGTAATGATGATTCTAATCTAATTTTACAACAAATTTTTATTGTTATCGTTTTTGTGTTTTCACTTTCACCCAACGTTGTCCTTTACAATTTAAGTTGCGTCCCTTTTCTCGACATCTGTGATGGTCGATTACTTAAAAACTTGTTTAATTCCATAGGTGTCGATAAAAAACCATGTTTGATTATTATTCATGACACATTTCATACACGCCACTTTCAATCTACCAATAAATAATAATTGGTGTGACAAGAAAGAAATAAAGGAAGCAAATAACTTCAAAAATAAAAGTTTTTCCTTACAAAAATAAAAAAGAGACATTCGTTGATGGGGGTGGAGAGAAATCACCAAGATATTTCCTTTCCAACCACTTTGTTGAACGAAGGGAGAGAAATTGTCATTCAATTCGATAGCATAAAAAAATATATTGAAATTATTGCACATGAGTGAAAGAGAACTTCTCAACTCAACAAGCATGATGTGATCATGTTCAAAATAACAAGAAGAGATGTGTTGTCCATTCGACCCGATCTAATTCAATTGTTCGAGAATATCGTCGATATTTATTACCTTGAATGTTATCAATGGACTCTCATATCACATCCAATTCAGTAGATTCACCCTGGTCATAAAAAACAATATTTATTCCGATACCTCTTGATCCGTTTTGTCACATGAACATTCGGAATTGATTTGTTAAAAAACTTCTAACAGTAATCAGGCAACACTAAAAATATTACACAAGGAAAAACATTTATCGTTTGTGTCCAATTTTCCACCAAGCACCATCGGTATTCTTTTGAGGGTGAATGTTCTGGGAAAAATGAAATTAAGACAATTTACTACTGTAAATGGCGATATGCTGTTCATGCTTATGGTGATTACCAGTCGAGGATGACCATCAAACGTGAGTAGTGCTTGCATGGGGAAGTTAATGCTGTTCAGCAGATTCCCTTTTAACCGTCCTTCGGTAATCATGACAAGCAATGAATGAAAACAATTTCTGAACGAAGGTTTCTGTTAGAGAAAAAAAGGCTTTTATTGGCCGAAAGTTGAAAAGGCAGCGATGGAAACGAAGAAGATGAAAACATGACCATTTTTACATAACCAGACGGACCGAAGTCTCTCGGTCATCAATTGTAAAGGTTTATCGATTATTTTCTCTTGATGGAATTGTTACTGAGGGTGAATCTGAGAAGAAACTTGAGATTTTCTTCTATTCTAAGAGGATATTGAGTAGCAGGTGGACGCTTGAGAACATCCCAAGTTGATGGCTTTTTAATTTTTTCTCAAATTAAATCTTCCGACGGATGCAAACCTACTGAAGGTTTGGTATTTCAACTCAATAGTTTCCAAGGTGACACTCCATAGAAAAATTATTCATTCGTAATGAACAACAGCTGTGATCTTTTTAAGGTATTGTCAGTGGTATTTGATCTGTCGAGAAAATTTTTGAAATGCCTTCAAAGGAAATTTTTTATGTCTTTTGAAGAAAATGGAAAATAAAAAAAAAAAGGTTTTTACTCCTTTAATCAAGCTAATTGATTTTCCTATACGATGCACGAGTGGAGAATCGAAAATAAAATTGAAAGCAAAGGAAATCCTTTCACCATAAAACGTTCATTGTAAAGTCGACAATGAATTCCGTGAAAATGTTGAAAACACCAAAAAATGCGCGTCTATAAAAAAAGAAAGAAAGGCGAGTAAAGAAAAGGGCGAAAGTAAATTTGCACAACGTGTAAGCGGAAAAAAGAGAATTAAAAGATTTAATTAAAAAGGCCAAGTCTTGATTTATGGCTTGTAAATAGTTCGTGCACACGACGAATGAAAGCGAAAGGGATGAAAGACTTTTTACGAGACGGTGACATCTGAGTTATGTGCTACGAGAGCTCTAAACCGGTTGACACAAAAAAAAGGGCGGAAAATAAATTCTCATCGTCAGCCAAAGTAATTTTTGGTGGACGGTTTTTTATGTTTTGGGTTCTGCTTTGCTGCCAATAATTTATTAATTTTTTGCGTGGCACTTTTTTACAAGATTTCCTTGTTTCGTATCAAAGCGAAAATCCTTCTGCTTCATATTTCAGATTAACAAAAGTTTTGACGTCATCCACAGTTGTCACTGTTGACGATGGTAGGTGACTGTATGAAAATGTTCATTTAGAGAAATCTGCTTGTGTTGCTGATCTGAGTTTGTAATGTGGTGAACCCCAAAAATACATAAAAACGAATGCGAGCTGTAGCTGAAGTTTATATCCTGTTTGTTCAAACAATCATTGTGATACTTACATGTACTTGCTCGCTACATCATAATTAGGACGAATAAGTGACTATGGAAACGTGAAGCGTTAAGCTATAGGGAATAAATATGTGGAGACATGAAATCATTTCGGAGCACATCATTATTTGGGATCATCATTAATTGTTGTGATTGTGGTGAAACGGAGTTTTCTACCGTTTATTTTTATTCCTGATTCTGTTAAGTAGCTCTTCAAATCATTCTACAAAACTGATTAGATAGAAATTGTTATAAATTTAATAAGTTTCGAAAACCAAAGCAGCATCGTTAACGTAAATGAATGAAATTTTAACATGAGTTTTTGAAATGTTTTCTTGGAATTATCAGAATGATTTCGAAAATTCATTTTGACTTTTGAATAATCCTTGAAATTTCTAAAAATTGTGTCTAACATTTTGAGGTTTTTCTATGTTTAGGTGAGACATTCGAATGCTAAACCATTCGATATTGAACGAATGAAACACTTAAAGTCTATCTGAGTGAAAAAGAGATGGAAGAAAATTATAAATTTTCAAATGCATGTACTTTAACATGTAATTTATGATGCAATATTTTTTTCCGCATGACTGGATGGTTTGGGTTTCAACTTTCGTGTTTCAAACACTTTTATCTACCCACTGGTAGCGCAATGTTGTATGTGCTGGTAAATGTGAATATTTACATAAAGGGAAGCGAGCATGAAATGAAAATTTTCGATTGGAGTGGGAAAATTATGTATTATGCAACTAATATTTTATCATTAAAACGCTATTAAAATTTTAGATTTCCATGCTTTGAATTTTTCACTCCTATCGATTTTTTCTCCTTATTTTGTGTGCTCAAAATTCAATTTGAACCCTTCTGTAGAACTTTAGATTCGTGTTGATAGTTCGCAAGTCTATGAAAATGTTAATGAAATGTAAATCACATTTAATGCTTCTTTACTCTGCTTTTTGTCGATGATACTTCACAAATCTCTGAGATACTTTTGAGAATACATTAAGATATCACTTTTCTTTCCCAGGGCTATTCGACTTGTGTTTACTTATTATGCATAGTTTTTTTGATCCCGAATTTGGAGCAAAAGAGAAGAATGAAAGGTTCGAAGCAAAGTCCACATTACGCTACAAAACTTTTAAACATCTGAAGAAAATCCTTCCATAGTTGCGAAGAAGTAAAATCCTTGAAAAATTTGAATATCGCCTTAAATACTATAACTAACTAAAAGGATATGAAATTTTCTCATTTCCAAACATAGCAACAAGAAAAAAGGACATTTGAAGAGAGAAAGAGTTATTTTTTTATATCATTCATAAATATTAATGAACGAGAAAACTTAAGCTGCTTTTCACTTGAGTCCCATTCTTCGATTGCTTTTTGAGAAAATTCCTTATGAAAATGATTTTCATTTTGTTTCAATGACGTTTACATTTTAAAATGAAAATTTTGAAATAAACGAAAATTAAAATTTGATTAGATAATTTCAACGGATATTTAATGATTAAAAATATGTTTTGATTTATTATGAAGACAAATGTCGATTAAATCATTATTTGATTTCATATTCGTTGATTAAAATAAATCTTCACGACATTGGTTAAGAAAAACCACAAAATGACGTCCAATATTTCCACATCTGCGTTTCACATGCAACATGAAAGATGAAAAACTTTATCGACGTGTATAGATGAGAAATCTTAGATTGTGGTTAACCGCAAAAATGGGCGTGTCGTTGTGGTTTCGTGAAAAACTAATTCGTCGATTGGCGGAGGCGACGAAGAGAAAATGATTGATGAAAAAATGTTACTTTCCACCCTATCGAAAAAAATCCTGAAAAACATGACAAAGAAAAAGGAGTTTGCGGTTACTAATACAATGAACGACTTTTTCTGGATGTGCATAAAAATTTCGTGTTTTACTTGCGGTTGGTTACTTTGCGGTTTTGTAAGAAGATGTGAAGGTGTGGGTGTTGTCATTGTGACAGCGAATGAATAATTGAAGTCAACAACTTACATCATAAAATGGTGAACATATTATTCGCACATTTCTTTTTCAATTTATTTTTAATTGAAATAATTAAACATTTGAATACTTAGCGACATCTTTAGTCTCATAGAAAAATCATTCCACGTTCATTTCTTTCTTTCCAACCCTTTTCAATGCAAACATTATTTTTGACTGACGATAATTTAGCCAAGACACTCTTTTCTCTTTTTTCTGTAAAAAAAGAAATAAAAGTCGGAAAATATTTTTCCAACAAAACGATTTTTTTCTTCTACAAAAATCCGCAAGTAAATTTTTTCCTTGAAAGGGAAGAAAACGTCTCTCATTGAGAGATGGAGAATTTTCATTCCCACCCACACATTGATGAAAAGAAAATTTTCTCCGCCGTTGAGTGTATACTTTTATCCCTTTCTGTTCAACCCCTTTCAGTATTCGCTCGAGACGAGAGAAGTTTATGGTGGAAAGACGATTCTTAAATCTTTCTCTCGCTAGGGTGTTGCCATGAGTTTCTCACATTTTACGAGACTTTTTTCTTTGCTGCTTAACGCGAGAGAATTTTTTTCCGACTTTTTTTTTCCTTTTTCGAAATCAAAAGAAAAAAGAAGACTCATAAAAAGGGGTAAAAGAAAGTTTTCTTGGCGATTTTCTTCGCTTAAACTTCTTTCCAATGCCAAAAGATGCCAGCAGCCGTTTGGGTTCTTGACAATTTGAAATTGATGAAAAGTTGTGAATAATTATGTTCGATTAATATTATAGAACAATTTAGAAACTTCTAAGAATGAAATGACATGTCATTAGCATTCATGGTTGAGCAATCAAAATTGAAGTGGGATTAAACTAAAATTGGGAAATATTTATGATATTTGAATTCTACATACTTGGAAACATTTTCGAAACGATAATTTGGTAATATTTAAATTTCGAGTATTTTCAATATTATTTGTGTTGGCTTGAGTGAAGATTGTTTGTTCAAATATATCACAGGAGAAAATAATTCACAATTTCCGCTTTGACAGTTCATAAAATACAACTGTGTCGATATCATTGCTTTCCTGCTTCAAAAGTCTAATATTATTATTTTCCGATAGCACTGTCGCTTCCGTTAATCGGTTTCATTTGCCAAAAACAGTGTTCGCAGATTTGTTTGCTGAAGTTGTGTGATGAAAAGAGAACTTGAACATGGAAGTAATTTTACGTGTTACAAAGTGCGGTTAGCGACAAAACGACATTTTCAAATTTTAACGCTTCTAGGCACCTTACATTTAGCAGTGAAATAATCTACAGAAATTCACATTAAGTTGCACTAAATATGCACAATTTTGTCTTTTCATAAAGATCACAAAATTAAATTTTAAGGGCAACTTTACTGAAGTCATGTTCAGGATAATTTCACATGCAAAACTGTCTCATATTTTGCTTCAGACAAATGCATAAATTAATATCTCTTGGATTGTCTCTTTCTGATAAGGAATGAAATTGAATTCCATTTCTTTAGGGTTACTCTTTAGTTATGTGGCTTTCCCTACTTTCATCTCGGGATTATTTAAATTATTATAAACAAAATAGCATTCATGTCCTACTTTTTATTTGACTTTACGTTTGACCGTAAAACTCGGGAAAATTTCCATTGACCCATTGAAGCCTTTTTTCTTTTTTTAAAAGCATCGAGGGAAAATGTAAGAAAACCGCAAAAATTATACACGTCCAGCTAAAAAAAGGTTGAATTGCGCTTCAAAACAGACACAAAATATTGAGGTGAAAATCCTTTGCACAACAGAAACTTTCAACAACTTGTTACTAACCATTCTCGTTGTTTATGATATTTCAGATTTTTCTTTCCTTCGCTCCTTCATTGTTCAAATGTTCAACTACTCCATACACGATGTTATGCTTTGAGGTTGAGAAAAAAAACTACTTTGAAACCTTTTTTTGTTTAACATTTTTCTCCCCGAAAGTGCAAATATGTATCAGTCCAGTATTTTCACACAACAAACAAATTCGAGAGCTTTTCACATTTGAAATTTATTTTTTCTCATTTTCATATTTTTTTTTCGACATTATGATTCTTAAACATCTACATATGTTGTAAAATTATCCAGATAATTTAAGTTTTGCTTTAATTGCGAGTAGATAGAGCTAAATAATGTTTGATAATCTGGTGAAAGTTTCATGGGACTTCGAACAGATTTACGCGACGATATAAGTTTTGTAAGTTTCTTCTCAAAACAAAACTCACCTCAAGCACAATCCTTAAAATCTTTCTCTTATTCAAATGTTGATGATGTTACCTTTCTGTTCTTTTTCAATAGTTTTCATAGTTAAACATATTTACGAGAATTACAATAAAACTTGTGATAATTTCTCTAACTTCTTATCTTCTTACATTTTGGCAAAATTTTCTGTTTCCAAACAAGTTTCATGTTCCTTTTCAAAACTTTGTTTTATCTTCAAACATCAGCTATACATAGGACATGATGATGATACGTATTTGCCAGTAAATTACTATTGGCATTTTGAGCTTTATATCTGTTATGTTAATTAACGGAACTTTATCACCAAGGGTTCAATAAAACTTTATGTCTTTCCTTACATTTCTACCATTTTGATAAAACGAGACTTCATTACGATTATACACAATTCAACTACGTTCAAAAGTTTTTGTACAAAACTTACATTTTATCAACTTTGTGGTAACTCAGAAGGGATGAATTTAATTCAAGACTTTGCAAAAGCTAAACTTAACACCAACAGAATTTCACTAAAGTGGATTAAACAAGAAAACCGGATCAATAAGGACGCCAAACAGAAGCATTGTCAGCGCCAGGAGGTGCATGTTGTGGCTGTTGACCACGCTGTCCAATCAACTGACGACTTGTCTCGTCAGCAACTCTCGCAGCTGTTCCACAATTCCCAATCAAGCTCAAATCTGTATTACCAGCCATAAGATGTTGATGTTGCTGTCGATTTCCATGCGATCCCGTTCCCGTCACAATGTGATCCATGACACTTTGAAGTTCACCATGCATTAGCGAATTCTGTGAAGAATGAGATTGAAGTGAATGTGAATGGAAACCATGCGATTGATTTGCTGCTGTATAAAGTTGAGTGTAAAGAAGACTTGCTGGTAAAACTGGATAGATCGAACCATTACATCCGTTACCACCATTTCCATAAGAATTCTGATTTTGATTGATACCAAAATTTTGATTTCCATTAACACCACCAAGATTCGGAGTGTTTGATGTAAGAAGATCATCTTGAACAGGAGATTCAGCTTGTGATGAATCACTTAAACTTCTTGGTCCATTCTGACTTGAATGAAGATTATAATCATTGTTACCGTGATTATATCTCGTCACAATTAAATTATTGGATGAACCATTTGTTGTTAGAGAACTTGAATGGTTTGCGTTACTTCCAACTGATCCAGAATTCATAAGTGATTGATGTGACATTTGACCTGTTGATGGTGGAGTTCCAACTAAATTTGATAAATG